TTTGAGTTCTGCACCCCACCTTTCCCCTGCTCCATCTGGGACTCTCTGTTGTGTTCCCTGTCAGGGAGGTCATTGGTGGCAGCCAGTCACCATCTAGTTCTTCTGGTCTCAGGCTGATGAAGTCTCTGGTTCATGTGGCCCTTTCTGTCTCTTGGGTTAATACTTTCCTTGTGTCTTTGCTGTTGATCATTCTCCTTACTCCAGGTGGTTGGGACCAATTGATGCATCTTAGATAGCTGCTTGCAAGCTTTTAAGACCACAGAAGCCACACACAAAAGTAAGATGCAGAACATTTTCTTAACAAGCTTTGTTATGCCAATTGACCTAGATGTCCCCTGAAAGCATGGTCCCCAGATCCCCATCCCTGCCACTCTGTCCTGCAAAGTGTTTGATAGTATTCAGGAAACTTCTTAGTTTTGGTTTAGTCCAGTTACACTGACTTCCCCTGTAGTGTGTGCTGTCCTTCCCTTCACCTAAGATAATACTTGTCTATTATCTCGATAGTGAATAACCCTCACCTTCCCTCCCCACCCTCGTAACCATCAGAGAATGTTGTCTTCTATGTTCAAACCTTTTCCTGATTTCTTATAATAGTGGTCTTATACAATATTTGTCCTTCTGTGACTGACTAAATTCACTCAGCATAATGCCCTCCAGATTCCTCCATATTATGTTTCATGGTTTCATCATTGTTCTTTATCCTTGTGTAGTATTCCACTATGTGGATATACCATAATTTGTTTATCCACTTGTCCAAAGATGGGCTCCTAAGTTCTTTCCATCTTTTTGCTATTGTGAACACTGCTGCAATGAACATGGGTGTGCATATATCCATTAATGTGACGGCTCTTATTTCTCTAGGATATATTCCAAGGAGCAGGATAGCTGGATCATATGGTACCTCTATTTCTAGCTTTTTAAGGAAGCGCCAAATTGATTTACAAAGTGAATGTACCATTTTACATTACCACCAACTGTGTATAAGTGTTCCAGTCTCTCCACAACCTCTCCAGCATTTATCATTTTGTACTTTTTGGATCAGTGCTAGACTTGTTGGGGTGAGATGATATCTCATTGTAGTTTTTTTTTTTTTTTAATTGTACTTTAGGTGAAGGTTTACAGAACAAATTGTTTCTCATTAAACAGTACACATATTGTTTTATGACATTGGTTAACAACCCCACCACATGTCAACACTCTGCTGTAGCCATCTTGTCCTGCTTTTTTATATCTTTTGATATTTTCTGCTGTCTCCAAGACATTAAGGTGTTGTTTTCTTTAGGTATTGATTGTATGTTCATTGGTTCATCCTGCTTTTTTGTTTTGTTTTGATATGTCAGTGTGGGTAGGCCAGGCATGCTTTGTTGCTTCCTCCTCTGTGGACAGAATAGCTCTCTCACCACCTTGTCCGGTGGGCAGGGCAGCAGCAGACAGGGTGAGTCCACTTCACTGTATACTCGTTTGGCAAGGTAGCTGAGGGGAGACTGGGTGAGTGCTGTCTCCTGGTGTTGTGACATGGTGAGGTGTGGTGGCATGGTGAGGCCCAGTGCGAAGGGGGAGGGCAGTGGTGTACTGGGATAGGTGGAAGGGAGAAAGAAAAGATAAAAATGAAAAAAAAAGGGCAGCTGGCGAGTAGGGTCAGGACAGAACTTGGGGCTGGAGGGAAGGGGGTAGGTGGTATACAGAGCTAGGTGGGAGGGAGAAAAAGGAAGAAAGAGATAAAAGACAAAAATGGTGGTGCAGTGGGTAGGGATCAGAGGTGACTTATGAGGTTAGTTGGGAGGGAGAAAGAAAAGAAAGAAAAGAATGGTGGCAAGGCAGGAGTTGGCAAGTGGGGGCAGGGTGGACCGAGCGAGGTGGCAGGCTGGTAGCTCTCTAGCTGTGGCAGTGTAGCAGTATGACAGGGGCTGGTGGGAAGAGTGGAGGTGAAGTATGTGGCTAGGTGTGAGGGAGAAAGAAAAGGAAGAAAGAAGAAGAAAATAAATAATTTAAAAAAATAGCGACCTTGTGGGAGCCAGCAAGTGGGGACAGGGTGGACCAGAGGGCCAGTGGAAAGGGAGGAAAGGTGATGTACATGACTGGGTGGGAGAGAGAAAGAAAAGACAGAAGAGAAAGGGAAACAGACAGAAAAAAATGGTGTCACAGCTGGAGCTGGAAGGTGGGGGCAGGGCAGACCCGGGCCAGTGGTGGGCCAGTGGCTCTCTAGCCATGGTGTCATGGTGTGGGTTCAGCAAGAAAGCAGGTTAGGTGGCATACAGGGCTAGGCAGGAGGGATAAAGGGAAAAAAAAGAAAAACAAGCAAAAGAAAATAGTGGCATGGCAAGAGCCAGGGGTTGGGGTCAGAGTGGACCTAGGTCAGCAGCGGGCCTGTGACTATCCAGCCATAGTAGTGTGGTGGAGGACAGCACAAAGTGGGGAGGTGGTGTAAAGGGCTAGGTAAAAAGGAGAAAGAAAAGGAAGGAAGAGGGGGAAAAAGTGTGGAAGGGCACAAGGTGGGCACGGGGGTGGGGCTCTTATTGTGGACCCTGGTGTTGGAGGCTGCCAGGATGGTGGGTTCTTGCTTCTACTTACCAAAAGGTTGAGGGATGGGAAAGTGTGTTTCTCTGGTTACTGGGTACTTTGTCTCCTGTTGGGAGCTCTGTGAAGTTGCCTTCCCATACTCCCTGTCTGAGGTCATTGCTGGCTGTGTTCCAGGAAGATGGCAATGCTGTGCTGTGTTAGTTGGCAGGGGACCCCTACTCTGTATCTCTCCTTGTTCTCTGTTTTCCATCAGTTTCTTCTTCCATTCCATGTTTGACTTAGTTCTTTATCCCTTCATTTGATGCTAAGGATTCCAGGATTGATCTTTGTACCTGTTTTACTTAGTTTTTTAGGTCTTTTGCTGCAGAAGTATGGCATGGTACATCTGTCTAGAGCACCATGTTGGCTTTGCCTACTGTCCTATATTTTCTTATGGAAGATTTACAGTTTTTTTTAGCCTTTACATTTAGGCCTAAAATCCTTTCTGAGTTAATTTTTCTCTATGGAGTGAGGCAATGGTTGAGTCTCCTTTTTTTTTCTTTTTTTCAACCCTAATTGTTGTTTGATTATTGGTTTCTTGATTAATTACATTGTGGTCAGAGAAAGCACTGTGTATAATTTCAATATTTTCAAATTTGTTGAAACTTGATTTGTGGCCCATCATAATGTCAATTTTTAAGTGTTCTATGAGCATCTGAAAAGCATATTTTGTCAATTAGGTAAATCTTGTTAATTGGACTGTTCAAATCAGTATGTATACTGATATTTTGTCTGCTTGCTCCATCAGTTATTGAGAAATTTCTATTAAAATTTCCAATCATGAATGTGGATATGCCTATACCTACTTATCCTTTCAGTTCTGTTTTAAATATTTTGAAGATTTTTTTTAATTTAATTGAATTTAGAATGTTGTATCTCCCTAGCAGACTAAAATTTTTATCATTTGAAATCTATTTCTAAGTAAATATTTTTACATACAATGTCTGACATTAGTATACCAGCTCTGCTTTGTTTAAAGTGTGCATGGTTTATATGTTTTCATATAAACATATATGGAATATTCTTTTTACTTTTAATCTTTGTAAATTAATCAAATTAATCTAAATTCTTATATTCAAGTTGTGTCTCTTGTGGGCAGCATATAATATTATTTATTATCCATTCTGACAATCATTGCCTTTTAATTGGAATATTCAGTCTGTTTACATTTAATGTAATTACTGATACTTAGGAGTTCAGATTTGCCATTTGTCTCTCTCTTATTCTTTTAGATTAATTAGACTTTTTGTTATTCTATTTTTACCTCTATTTGCTTGTTGATCTTGCATTTTTATTATTGTTTTAGTTGTTACTCTATAGATTATTACATGTATCCTTGATTTGTTCAAATCTAACATAAATTATTACTTCCAACACTTCCCAAACTATGCAAGAATCACAGAACACTTTAACACTATTTATTCTTTTACCTTTTGTGCTATTGTTGTCATGGATTTTACACTGATATACATTTTAAATCTTTTCAGATTTTATTGATTTATACATTTCTTATTCATTTAAATTTACCCACATATTTACTTTTTCTGTGATTCTTTATTTCTTCCTGTTTCTTTGTGTTTCCTATCAGGGACCATTTACTTTACAACTAAAGAACTCCTATTAGTATTTGTATAGTGTGAGTCTGCTGATGGGTACTTCTTTCCATTTCTGTTCATCTGAAGACATCTTTATTTCACTTGTACTTTAGAAAGATATTTTTACTGGGTATAAAAATTCTAGTGCAGTTATTTTGTTTTAGCTCTGACATTAGATATCATTCTAAGGTTTCTGGCTTCCTTTCTTTTTGTTGAGAATTCAAGTGTCAGTTTAACTGCTACTTTTAAATTCATATGTCTTTTTCCTGTCTGGTCTTAATATTTTCTCTTTGTCTTTAAATTTTAGCAATTTCACTATGATACACCTATATATTTTTTTCTTTGTATTTAATTTGCATAGAGTTTATAGCACTTCCTGAATTGATGGCTTGATGTCTTTCATTAGTTTTTAAAATTCTGTCATTTTTATGTTCAAATTTTTTCTCTGCTTCATACAGTCTCTTCATTTTTTGAAGACTTTTATTTGCATTTACATATTAGATATTTTCACTGTATATCTCTCATGCTTCCTTTCTTTTTGTATATTCAATTTTCTTTTCTTTCTATGCTTTGTACTGGGTATTTTCTTCCAATCTCTGTTCCAATTTACTAATGCTCTCTTCATTTACTTCTGTGTCTATTAAGTTTATAATTTTATGTATTGTATTTTTTCATTTCCAGAATTTCCATTTGAAGAGTTTTTATATTTTCCAAATTTCTGCTGAGATTTTTTATTTTGTCATCTGATTTCCACAACATATGACTATTGGTTATTTTAAAGTCCAAGTATAATAATTACAGTATCTGAATCTCTATGAGTATGCTTCTATAATATGTTTTTATTCTTGGTCTTCAGTCCTGTGGTCTAATCTCCTGGGATCCCTAGTAATTTTTGGTTGACTACCTTTTGGACAGTGTGTATGATAAATTTTAGAGATATTTTAAGAATGTAGATAATATTATCTTCTTCCAATAAGGATTCATTTTTGTTTGCCAGTTAGATAAGGGGAAGTTTATTTTAATTCAATCATGGATTTAGTTGATTTGATGCCAGGCTTCATTATTTGTTTAGAGTTACAACTGAAAACTGGATTGTTTCCCAGTCTCCTCCTCTTTGGTGGGTCTGAATTCCAGTTTTTGCCTCCTAGTCATATAAGACTGTTAGAAACTCTGCTCAGCCTCTCAGCTGCTTGGCTTCTGCTTGCAAATAGGCAAATCTGTCAAGGGAGAAAACAGTACCAGTTGGTCTCATGTCTCTATACTTTCATACTGTCTTGGCCTAAGTTCCTAGAAAAGAATATCCGAGGCAAATTTTAAGTTCTGGTTGTTTACTGGGATGTGTAACCTCAGAACGGAAAAAGTAAGGGAAAAGGAAAGTGAGGCAGAAAAAGAGGAGAAACAAACAAGCAGGTTCATTACTGCAGCTGACCACAACTTCAAGAACAGACACAGCTTACTGCTCAGTCACACAGGAAGTGTTCAGACACACTGTACACCTTGCCTTGGAATAGTCTATCAGGGGGAGAAAATGAGAGGAAATTATCCAATGGCTCCCTCCTAACTTAACTTTCATTGGTCAAAATTTGCCCCACAAGGCATTAACTTTCATGCACTTCTAGATTGTGTCAACTGGAATCTTTAGACCCTCAAGGGAAACCAGATCCCATATCTTGCAACATTTTATTTCATACTTAAGGGTATGGTGGGTCCTGGTGCCATAGCTGCAGCAGCTCAGCCTACATCAGGCACAATGGAGTGTATGCTGGGACTGTAACTAAGCCTGTTGGGAAGCTGAGGCAGTGCAGAGCCTGTTAATGAATATGGTGGAGACCTCGTGCCTGTGGTAAGAGTTTGAGAATCTAGGAGACAGACAGGGCCTAAAGGATCTGAAGAGGTTCCAAAACTGTGTCCAATGCACCTTCTCTCAGAGATTTTGACTTCTCATAGCTCTTGATCCCTTGATAGTTCCACAATGCCTTCTGACAGATGGTTTTATACCTTGTCCAGTATTTCTGATTCTCAAAGGATGGTTTGGTTTGATCTGCAACAAACTACTTGAAATTACTGGAAAATAAAAAAACATCTCTATCTTTAAAAGATCTAATTACACTAATATAAAGTATTAGTTCCATATACGACTGATACCCAAACATAGATAACAACCAGTTGACATCAGCTTCATAGTAAAATTAGTTCTCACTTGTAGCTATAAATCACCACTCACCTATATATCCACTTCTCAGATGAATTCATTAGATGTTTCCAATGTCTTGTTGCACTTAATTTCCAGAGATTAATCACTGACCATATTACTCATCTTATAGAAATCCCCACCAGGAACTAAAGCAGTAATCATGGGTGAGGCAATTAAATAAGGACACAAAATTTAGCAGTTCCGTCATTGCCAAGGAAGAGGATTCACAACTAGTTTGTTATACGTTTACTATGTGTTTAATCCTGATAGCCGAGAAAACTCAATTCAGACTGATAATTATCATTCCTTCCTTTTCCCAGCTATAAAATGTACCTCTGGTGTATGAATTCTACAGATTTCTAGTCTGTGATTCATGTCCTTGTGACATGCCCCAAGAATTTCAGAATCTCTTCTCCTGTTGTTCCCAAACCTATGTTAATCCTGCAGTTGTTAGCCTCTTCTAGGTTAGACCAAAGATATTACTTCATAATAAAATTTTTTTAAAAATCTCTTTATTAAAAATTTACCATTATGCCTGTTCTGTGTTTTCATGTACTGCAGAACAGGAGGCATCAATGTCAGGAGCTCAGTTAGGAGCCCTAAATAAAGGTTTTCTCTTCCATTTGCTACCTTCCCATAGCACCTTAGAATAGACTTGGCAACTCTGGATTCAGGTGCCTCTCTTAATATGAGGATCACCCTTAGGAGAATGTTGATAGATGCATGCTTAATGATGCAGCTCATGGAAAGCCAGAGATGTTTTTCATTAAGGCTTCCTCCAAACTGACAATAAATTCACCACTAAGAGATTTTAGAACTTTCTAAACTAGCTTTTCCATACATCACCACCACTGGTCATCCTTGCCACTCCAATTTGAAGATTTGTGGTCAGTAGAAAATGGTGACCTTTCCAATAGTAGGAAGGCTTTTCTTCAATAAAGGGAATATGAGTATCTATAGGTCCCCACTAGAAACTAACCTACAGCCTACATCTCAGCATCAAGAAATATTTTATCACAAAATTGTATATGCAGTAAAAAAAGTATATGCAGTATAATCTCATTATATGATATTTATAACTATAAAGTATATAAACATGTATGAAGAAATATGTTAAAATATTAAGTGATTGTATCCAGATAGTAGGACTATGGGTGCAAACTTCTTTTACGCACTTAACTTGTAATTCTTTTATGTACTTATTTGTATTTTCCTCTTTTTACTTAATAGGCATATTATCTTTTAATTCAAAAACTTTTTAAAAAAACTATTTCTTTGGGTATTCATACAGGTGTTGCATTCTTCTAGGTATTAGATGTTCTGTTCTAGGTATTTACATATTAAATAAGTCAATAAACAAGAAATGTTTAGAAAAGGGTCTGGCACAAAGTGAATGCTCAATAGATATTACCATTATGGTTACTGCACAGGAAATTAAGTTCATTCGATTCACAAATTGAGAATTTATATTTAAAACTAGAGTCCCTGGGTGGTATAAATGGTTAAGTGCTGGACTATAAAAGAAAGGCTGGTGGTTCAAACCCAGCCAGAGGCACCTTGGAATTAATGCCTGGCAATCTGCTTCTAAAAGGTCACAACCTTGCCAACCCTTGGAGCAGTTCTCCTTTGCACGCATGAGGTTGTCATCAGTCGGAATCAACTTGACAACTACCAACAACAACAACATTAACACCATGCCCAAAATTTCCAAAGTAAAAATTGAATCATTCATTTCAACATATTTGCAAATTTAATGTATATATAAAACTTTACTAAAGCATAAAAAGAAAATCACACTGAAATATATTGAACAAAACTTTTTTTTTTCAAAAGCATACGTATTTAAATAGTATTTACTTAATAATGAAACCTTTTGGGAATTTTACAATTTTAATATTGTCACCATAAATACCCGATACCTGTGGTACCCCTAATTTAATAAGAAAAAAAACTTCAAAAACAGAATGCTAAACAGGAAAAGTGGCTGCTGTAAAATTTTATACTTTCCCCAATATTTGGCTAAAAGAATTTTAGATTGGCAGTCTAGATTATACCTTAGCCTTGACCCCTAGCTTCTCGGGATCTTAGTCCTCAGAACTGTAAGATAAAGATTTGGGTGATAGAATTGCAAAGATCCTATGACTGTAAGATTATAAAAATAAGTCAGGGAACTCTTTTGTGATAAAAATTAAGTCATAAGGAACTTTAAAGTTAATAATATTTTAAGATTTCTGATACCTTTGCTAAAACAAACAAACAAAAAAATCATATCAGTCATGGTTTTGGACTTTTACTTGGTATGATCAATCAAACCAGACCAGCTGACATCAAATTGATTCTAACTCATGGTGACCCCACATGTGTCAGAGTACAAATGTGCTCCATAGCATTTTCAATGACTGGTTTTTTGTAAGTAGATCACCAGACCTTTCTTCAAGGTGCCTTTGAATGGATTCAAACATCCAACCTTTTGGTTAGCTGCTAATGTGTTAACCATTTGCACCAACCAGGGACTCCATAAATCACAGGAGACATTTTAATGGTACATGCTCACACTGAGCAAAAGAAAGCTGTCCATAAATGCCAAGTTCGTGACTGCTCTTCATCTTTCATTATTTTGTAATGTTTGTATAATATACACCATAGCAACAGTTTAGTCAAAATTGAGATTATCAAAAGGCAGTTGCATGCATTTTGCTTGTTTGCATGGTAGCAATCATTCTAGCTAACACACAGTTAAAATATTTTCAAAGTGTAAGCTTCCCAGAGGGAATTTTGAAGAGTTGAATAGCTGACATCAATCAGGAAGGTGTGGAGGCAAGAGAGGAAATAATTAAGTACTCGATTGCTTTTGGAAACCATCCTGCAATTAACATCAAATCACATGAATAACTTACTGTATTAAGATTCAATAACTTAATATTTAAGATACTTCATCCCATTTTAAAGGTTTTGAAATCTTGAAATTGAAAAAATTAAGAAAAGTTTAAAAAAATGAAACTTTAAAATAGCTATATTTTTCAAACTACTTAGTGTGTGTTTGCCATATGCCTTAGTGTGTGTTTAGTTTCAAGAAACAGAATATACTGCTAAAAGTGGTTAAATAATAGGAGCTTATTACTTTACAAGGTCCGCAGGTGTCATAAATGGTTTGCACTCATCTACTAACTGAAAGGTTATTGGTTTTAACCCACCCAGAGACACAGGGAAAGAAAGACCTGGTGATCTGCTTCCGTAAAGATTACAGCTGAGAAAACCACATGGATCTGAGTTCTACTCTGTAATACATGGGATTGCCATGAGTCAAAATCGACCTGATGGCAATGGGTTGGGTTTTTTTTTTTTGGTTACTTTACAACCACAAATTCTGGAGGAAAATGGTTCCAGGTTTGTCAGAACAAATCCACAATTTCATCAGGGGACAGGACTCTCCATCTACCGTCCTTGGTACGTTGGCTTGGTACACTCACACTTGTAAGATGGCTCCCCTTGTTCCAGGCACCACATGGACATATGACAACATTTGGGCCCCCCAAATGGGTGCTTTTTCCCATGTGTTATTTTTTTTAGGGGGGAAACCCTTCGCAGACTTCTTATGTTCCATTGATTAGAATGGAATCTCAAGCCCATGCGCCAGCTACAAGGGGTCTCGCCACGCAGCTCCAGCTGTCCAGTCTGTATCAGACAAGCCATGCTCTGCCAGTGAGGTAAAAGGGGTACACAGCCAACACAGTCACTCCTACATGTTGGTATATGTTGCTGTAAGGATCCCTGGTGGTGCAGTGGTTGAGCGCTCAGCTGCTGACCAAAAGGTCGGCAGTATGAACTCACCAGTTACTCCATGGAGAAAGATGTGGCAGTCTGCTTCCATAACCTTGGAAATGCTATGGGGCAATTTCACTGTGTCCTATAGGGTTGCCATGAGTCAGAATCAAGTCGATGGCAATGGGTTTGGTTTTTTTGTCAAATATCAGCAGGGTCACCCATGGAGAATAGGTTTCAGCAGAGCTTCAGACTAAGACAGACTAGGAGGAAAGGCCTGGTGATCTGCTTGCAAAAACTAGCCAGTGAAAAACCTATGGAGCACAACAGAACATTATGCAACTCACTTGCTTTGAACACATCATCAGGAAGAGTCAATAACTAGAGGAAGACATCATGTTTGATGAAGTAGAGGACCAATGACTTTTCGTTCTGTTGTACATAAGGTCGCCATGAGTCGGAGTCAACTTGACAGCAGCTAACAACAATATATGTCCTTCAAAACTTTTTTCTTGGTGATGTTTTTTTCCTACACTGTTCAAATCATACTGTACATCACATTTGTAACCTGCACTGATAATTTAACATTTTACCATAAGCAACATTTCACCATAAGCATTTGTTACATAATATTAATCTTTGGAAATTTTATTTTAAATAGCTACACATTTCATGGAAGAAATACACCATAATTTACTTATCTTGTAATAAGCAGCATTCCCTTCATTTTCGAAATACCTATGAGGTATTAAACACTATATCCCAGAGGCTTTACATAAGGACTTCTAATCTTTAGAACAATCCTTCAAGGTAGTTATTATTATTCCTGTTTCATAAATGAGGGAACTGAAACTCATACAGGTGGGGCACAGAGTTTAACCCTTACCTGATACTCCTTTTGGTGAGTGGCAGAACAGGGAATTTGAGCCCTGGTCGATCTGATTCCAAAAACAGCATACATAATGATACTTATTCAACACTGTTGGGAAGAAAAGAAACTGAAACCCAAAGGAACAGGCCAATTTATAAATACAGAATTAGTTAAGTTTATTATTGAGCAAAACCAAATCCATTGCTGTCGAGTCGATTCCAACTCATAGCAACCTTATAGAACAGAGTAAAACTACCCCATAGGGTTTCCAAGGAGCATCTGGTGGATTCACACTGCTGCCCTTTTGATTAGCAGACGAGCTCTTAACCACTGCACCACCAGGGCTCCATTGAGCAAAGACAAACAAAACTAAACAAAAAACCTGAATTCATGCAGATAGGCAGCAAGTGGCTACAAAGCTATTGTAGATATTCAATTCCATGCATATGGAATTGAAGCCATAGTGGATCATCCAACTTTTGGTAAACAGACTGTAGTTATTCAGTTTGCATCGGTAGTTATGTTGAGCTTACTCTGACATCCTGTTTCTCATAATTCCTGATCAGGCTTATTGGGGCTTTTTGTTCATCATGATTCTTTATCATTACTTCCTATGGTTGTCCCAACAGCATATCTGTTTAGCACATGTGATTAGTCACGTTCTTCAACATTCCTCAGTAAGGTTAGATTAAGTTCAGTTTCTCACAGCACCAAAATACCAAAAGGTTCCCAATTTTGATAGCCAATAGGAATAATATATATATATTTTATATATATATATATATGAACTGTCTTCATCATCTAGTGCTGCTGTAACAGAAATACAACAAGTGGATGGCTTTAACAAAAAGAGAAGTTTATTCTCTCACTGTCCAGTAGGCTACAAGTCCAAATTCAGGGCGTCAGCTCCAGGGGAACGCCTCTTCCTTTGGCTCTGGAGGAAGGTCTGTGTCATCAAACTTCCCCTGATCTGGGAGCTTCTCTGTGCAGGAACCTCAGATCCAAAGGACACGCTCTGCTCCCAGTACTGCTTTCTTGGTGGTTTGAGTTTCCCGGATGTCTCTGCTCACTTTTCTCTTTTATATCTCAAAAGAGATTGGCTTAAAACATTATCTAATCTTATAAACCTTACCAGTATAACTGCCACTGATCCACTTTTTACATCATAGTGATTGAATTTACAACACATAAGGAAATCACATCAGATTACAAAATGGTACACGATCATACAATACTGGGAATCATGACCCAGCCAAGTTGACAGATATATCTGGGGGACACAATTCAATCCATGACAGAACCAAAAAAACAAACCTATTGCCATCAAATTGATTCCAACTCATAGCAACCCTATAGGACAGAGTAGGGTTTCCAAGGAGCAGCTGGTGGATTCAAACTGCCAACCTTTTGGTTAGCAGCCAAGCTCTTAACCACTGCGCCACCAGGGTTCCATTACATATACATATATAAATTTCATACTTTCTACAGTAGGCTTTATCCATATCCTCAACAGGTGAAAAACAGTCATTTTGTTCTTAAAGACATTAAGAAGACTATACAGTATCGGTGTCAGCAGTTAAATGGAATACATGAATAAAAGAGGAAAAATAAAAGGGAAGCAGGGGAGGAAGGAAGAAAGAAATGCATATACAGGGCAAAGGAAGGGAAGAGCGGAAAGTACCATAATTATTGTCAATTCTGCTGTGACAGAATAAATTCTAGAGCAGACTGGAAAACAGCATGGGGAAATATTTCTGGCCAGCAAGCAGGACAAGCAGAGACTAAGCCAAACTCAACTGCTGTCACTGATTGCATCACTGCAGTTTACCTTCTCCTTCCCTCTCTGCCTGAGGGCTTGGCCTCTTGATGACAAACTCCCTGTTCAGTTTCAGGCAAGCTGGGCCTAGTCTGACTAATTTTCCTACTCCCCTTCCAGGATATGCTCCAATGAGCTTTTCCGCTATGTCACCACCCTGCAATGTTCAGTGCTTGCCTCTTGTTTCCCCTCACCCCCATGTCCTCCCTGCCTGTGGTGCAGGTGGTTCTGGGAGAAAGGTGACACAAACAGCTACCCTTTGGACTCAGCAGAGCTAAAAAGGAAGCGCTGCTGGCAATGTTCCTTATGAAGTCAGGACACTTATTGAAAAGTGCTGACAGTCTAGTAGATGGGAAATGAGAGTCCCCTAGAGAGCAAGGAATGTTCACAGAACCTCCCAGCCTCCCTTCCTTGACCCTTGCCTCAGTTAGCAACAGCTGCACTAAGGTCAGTGAACAAGAGGGCGCTCCCAATCTGTGTGACCAGACTAGGCTAATGTGTGGAGATAGGTTTTGTGGTGGTCTTTAGGAGTGTTGCTTTGCCAAGTCCTGACAAGGGCCTCTGGAAGGGAGAGAGGAATTTAAACATTTGCCTTTGTCTGGTCTTTGTGATTAACAAGAAAGAATTGTTGGTTTTATCTTTCTCTATTCTAGACTGGAGCCCTGGTGGTGCAGTAGTTAAGAGCTGCAGCTAATAACCAAAAGGTTAGCAGTTCAAATCCACTAGCTACTTGTTGGAAACCCTATGGGGCAGTTCTACTCTGTCCCATAGAGTCACTATGAGTTAGAATCAACTTGACAGCAATGGGTTTGGTTTTTTGGTTTATTCTAGACTGGTAATACTCTTACTTCCAGAAGCTGTGGAGTCAATAGTGACCTCATCTGTGTCAAGTAGAACTGTGCTCCATAAGATTTTCAATGGTTAATTTTTTGGAAGTAGATCTCCAAGTCTTTCTTCCAAGGTGCCTCTGAGTGGACTCAAACCACCAACCTTTCAGTTAGCATTAACTGTTTACATCACTCAGGGACTGAATATTCTAACACACACACAAAAACAACAACAAACCCCGCCTCAAAAAAGGAAAAGAAAACCCATTGCCGTCGAGCAGATTCCAATTCATAGCACTCCTATAGGACAAAATAAAATTGCCCCATAGGGTTTCCTATGCTGTAATCTTTATAGAAGCAGACTGCCACATCTCTCTCCCATGAAGCAACTGGTGGATTCGAACCACCAGCCTTTTGGTTAACAGCTCAGAGTTTAACCACTGTGACACCAAACAACAGCAACAATAAAAAACAAACAAATAAACCCATTGCCATTGAGTAGATTCCAACTCATAACTGCTCTATAAGAATATTCTCGCATAGCACCTTGCTATGAATAAGAAAGACAGAAAAAGAATTGATGCCTTTGAATTATGGTATTGGCAAAGAATATTGAATATACAATGGACTGTCAGAAGAAGGAACAAATCCATCTTGGAAGAAGTAAAGTCAGAATGCTCCTTAGAAGCAAGGATGGCAATACTTTGTCCCACATGCTTTGGACATGTTATTAGGAGGGACCAGTCTCTGGAGAAAGACATCATGCTTGGTGAAGTAGAGGGTCAGCGAAAAAGAGGAAGACCCTCAATGAGATGGACTGGCTCAACATAGCAATGATTACAAGGATGGCGCAGGACTGGGCAGTGTTTCATTCTATTGTACATAGGGTCACTAAGAGTCAAAACCGACTCGACGGCACCTAACAACTAACAACTACACAAGTTTGGGCTTTACCTAAGACAGGAGAAAGATGATGAGTGAAGATGTGATAAATCTTATTATCATGTGTATATATGATAATAAATCTTATAAGTGTATTTTATAAATTTATAAATAGAAATATAGTAGAAATACAGTTCTGGTTTTCTTTCTGCCTCCCCATGTCCTAGCAGAGTGACATTGGAAATGTTGGTCAACTTCTTTAAGCATCACTTGATTTCTTCATTGCTGAAATGAAGGTGATAAAATCTACATCGGAGGGTTGTTAAGGTAAATGAGAGAGAACGTCCATCACATGTCAGGCATAAAGCGATTGAGTAGAAATATTAGTTCCCTTTTCTCTCTCTTTAACCTAGTTGCCCAAGAGAATGTAGATTTTTCCAAAAATTTCATTTCATCAACCAATGCATTAAAGTATTAAAACATTTCCACTACTCTTAAATAGTTTATAATCTAGATGGGGAGATAATGATAAATCACATGGAACAGTAAGAGAACAATACAAGAATATTTAGTTAAATAATAAATTATATAATGTGTCCTTCAGCTTATTTAAATATAATTGCTATGAAAACAGACAACTAAACATGGGCTGGGATTTTATGCCATAGAACTCTTCCCTTTTCTGGGGTCTTCTAGGTATCCTATGGAGTAAGAAATAAGACTGGGTTGGGTGAATTATATAAAAATGTTAATTTACATCTTTTCCATATAAAAATAGACTAACAGGTATATTTGATGATGTTTCTTTTAGGTGTGTTCTGGACAAAGTCCTACCAATCCCCTGAAGACTAGCCCAAACTCTGCTTCCAAAACAAAAAAACTCTTAAGATTCCATGTTATAATTAACTTCTCCTTCCAACCTTTATACATCAACAGCAGTTTGCTTCCACCTTGTGCCTATCATGGCAATTATAAAAGTATTTTATATAGACAAATTTTCTCTTGCTTATTCACATTCAGTAAAAGAACCCATCAAAAATGTATGAAGTAAGAATCTCAAGCTCCTTCCTACTCCCACTCAGCAGAGAAGCAGATATTCTACCGACTACAAAAAATAATAAACATATGCAAATCCCCCTTTGGAAGTCCTTGTACTTCATGAGATTGACCTCCATAGGGGAAAAAAATAAGACCTATCAGACTTCTCATCTTTTTGTCTCAATTTTAAAGCAGTTGATAGAAAACATTTGCATTTTTAAAAGTATTTTCATATGACTCATGGTCATGCTCCTTCTTAGCTGTCCAATACAAATTCAGGATGTTATTTATCATCTCCATAGAAACTACTCTTCCATATGCATCTGGCCAATTCTTTTGCCACATCCTAAGGAATTATGACGTTTTTCAAAACATTTTGCAATTAACAGATTTCATCTTCACAACAATCTTATATGGTAGATACTACAAATGTCCCCATTTCATAGATGAGAAAAGTGAGGTACAGACAGGTGAAATCAATTGTCTAAGGTCACAGAGCTAGTAAATGATGATCAAGACTAACAAGCAGTGAGGCTCCAAATGAAACGAGTGTCCCAAAACAGAGTTTCATAAGCTCTGGTGAATTTTGAGCAAGGATAGTAGAATCTTTATCTAGCATGATTAAAAGATGGAGTATTCTGCTAATCCAGAAATTCCTTTAAATGTCAATATATTAGCAGCAATACATTTGCAGTAATGCTGCAAATCTCACTTTAAAATAAATTAGTCTACTTCCTTTTCTTTTAAATTTTACATACATATATATGTCTATAAATATGTGTATATATATTTAATTTTTTCATTAAGGGTGGAAGATATTCTTGTAGTACCTTGGAGATCATTACTAGAAACATTTGAAACCACCATTCAAGGACCAAAAATGTAGAAAGCATTGGGCCAAATTTGGTACTGATCACTGAATATAACTGGGAATTTGATATCATAAATAAATCCTGACTGAGAGTTTTTCTTATGATTCATCTCTCTTTCCTACAGTTTGAAGGCAAACAAAAGAAAAATCAGATTAATAAAGATTTTCACATAAAATGAATACATCTTGTGTGTAAATATTTACCTATCTATATTATATCTATCTATTTGGGGGACAAATTATCAAGAATATTATTTGAAACATCAATTTATATGCATTATCTTTGTGATGTATGGTTAATAAAATAAAATAAACTGATTTTTTAAATATTTTATTTTTATTTCATTGTTTAAATTTCTATTTTTCTGAATTTTTATAATACATATAATTGGCACAGGGATACACACACACACACGTGTATATGTATGTATAAATGAGGTCCCTGGGTGGCCCACACAGTTAAGTGCTCAACTACTAGCCAAAAGGTTGGAGGTTCAAACCAACCCAGGGGCACCGCAGAAGATAGGTCTGGTGATCTGCTCCCAAAAGGTCGCAGCCTGGAAAACTCTATGGTTTTCGAGTGTTCTACTCGGCACACTTGGGGTCACCATGAGTTGGCATCAACCCGAAATCGAATAACATATGTAAATAGATAAAGAATTTATAAGTATAACAGGATGTTAAAATAGAACTCTATGGAGTTTTGTGGAGGAGAGAATGTTGCCCCCATGCTTTACACTCCCTGGTTCATGCCCAGGTTTGTTATGTTACATAACACAAGAGATTTTGCAGATATAATTAAGGAATTAATCAATTGATTTTAAGATAAGGAGATTAGTCTGAATTTTCCATGTGGACCCAATGTAATCACATGAGTCCTTGTCTTAGGCTGGGTTCGCTAGAGGAGCAAAACCAGTGAAGTATAGACACCCACTCCTCACTTATCAACATGGTTAGTTTCCAGAAACAAGATCTTTACGAGAAAATCGAGATTATATGAAAATAGAGGATGACCAAATCAGATTACAAAATGGAGGATGACTACATCATTACATAACTGCCAAACCACTCAGAATCACGGCCCAGCCAAACTGACACATAACCTTAACCATCACAGCCAGCATTACTCTCGCCTCTCCTTCATTACTGCCAGACATACATCATTAACGTGCTAAATAGTAGGATGGTAGATTTTTTACTTTTACTGTAAATGTAAAATGTCAAATAATGAGATAGTTCATTAGTGAGGAGTAGGTGTATATATACATCATAGACACTGAGATTGATCTCAAGAAAATGGCTCATGTAGTTGTAGAGGCTGGCAAGTCCGAAATCTGTGGATTAGGTGTCAGGCTGGAGGCTTCTCCTGACTCATGTGGTTGCAGGGGATGACAAACCCAAAATTGTCAGGTCGAGGAGAAGGCTGCTGGCTCACAGGGCTGCAGGAGCTGGTGAATCCCCAAATCTGCAAGTCAGGTAGTAGGCTGCTGGCCCACGTCCCAAGACCCAGAGTCAGAAGATAATGAGTCAGATGCAGGATCCAGAAAGAGAGTGAGCCTTGCTGGAACATCCATTTATATACTGGAAGCAGGCCACACCCCCAAGGAAATGCCCTTTTTAACTGATTGGCTGCTCACAGCAGATCTTATTATGGAGGTGATTATATTACATTATGGGAGAGCACTCAGTCCAATGTCTGCCAAACCACTGAGAATCATAGCCTAGCCAAGTTGACTTATAACATTAACCATCACAGTCCTCAAAAGCAGAGATGTGAGATGCAAGTAGAAGTCAGAAGCACAGCATGCTGTTGCTGGCTTGAAAATGGAGAGAACCACATAAAAAGTAGGAGAAGGAAATGAATTCTGGCAACAACCAGTGAGCTTGGAAGAGAACCCTGAGCCTCAGATAAGAACACAGTCTCAGCCACCTTGATTTTAGCCCAGTGACACTCTGAGCAGAGAATTCAGCCATGCCATGCCAGCCTTATGACCTACAGAGACTATGAGATAATAAATTTGTGTTTAAGTAGTTAAGTTTCTGTTAATTTTTTACAGCAACAATGCAAAACTTATACAGAGTCCCATTTGTGGCCAAGGCAAGAATAGATGATACATTGCAAGTGAGATATGAAACAATCCATCATGATCCAAAACACATTAGATGAGGGAATAAAGGATTAAGAGGTTGAAGATTAGAAGAAAATTTTGGAGGAGAGAGTTTTCAGAAAGAGATGAGCTCTGAGTAATCCTCTCATACTCTCTCACCTTCCTCCCTTACCCCTCCTAAGCTACTTCCTACTAATTCCAACCTAATAAAATTTCTGTCAACAGGATTACTCAGAGACCTTAAAAAGCTCGAGTTCCTGCAGGCGGGCACACAGTGAGCCAGGGCCCAAGTCACCCTGAGATGCTTAAGCAGCTGGTAGCAGCAGAGTAGAGGGCTGCATATGGGAAGTGACTACTATCCCCTTCCATGATGGGTCAAAAATCCAAGAAGGAGGTCTGGCAAGGTGAGGGTACCCAAGTAGTAAGACGCTGTGGTCATATCCTTGGGAACAGAAATCAGGCAAGATGAGCAGTGGCCAGGCTTGCCAACAACAAGGGGTCTACAGGCGGAAGGGCCCCAGGAGAGCCTCCAGAGAACCTCAAAGGCAAAAGCTAGCTTCAATCATCAGCCAGGCCAGAGAGTGCTGGGACAAGCCAAGCAAGAATTTTTTGCCCCATTTACTTCTCCTCTCTCCCAGTCCCTATCTCTCCTTCGACTTCTTCAGAATCAGAATTTCTTTGGAGTCAGCAGGTAAGAAGTCACTGCAGATGTGGAGAGCTAGTGAGAAAGATGAAGCCAATAAAGTCCTCTTTGCTGGACCCAGGTTTTCACCTGCAGCAGGCTTCAGCTGGAGAAGAAATTTTAAGTTTGGCTCAAGCTTACAATTGTTGATAATTTTCTGAGACTGGACACTTTTCATTACTTTCATTTTGTAGCTTAAGATGACCACAGGCCTTTCTGTTAACCAGATGTGAGCAAAAATATCATGAGAACTGCCCATGTTTTCATCGAGGAGCAAGAAAAGAACAAATCCCACTGATGAGACAGTGGGAGATAAAGCAAAGCGTGCATTGGTGATTATACTTCACAAGGCTGGTCAGTATCCCAGTTACGAAACTGAATGAATGCAAGTATATTGGGTATCTGTACTCAAATTACTTTATTGATGAGGTGAGAGATAAAGAAAGTATGGAGGCCACTGACATTGTGCATAAGACTTCCTTTCTTTTCTCATTCATGTCTTTGGAGCCAAACAGGATTGTCCTGTGAATGACCCTAGGTTTTCTGGTAATGAGCTAGCTGGGCCAGGCATGCCCCATCCACTCAACAGGAGGAGCTCAATTTCCCACGGAGCTGAAAACCTCCAGAGCTCCCAGGCATTGGACAGCTGGCAGTTCCCAGCACTCCTGATGGAGTTAAAGCTCAGACCGGTTGGCACTGGAGCCCAAATTGCATATTCCCTCCTTGTAAGGCCTCTTCACACATGTCCTATGAAAAAAGAGGGAGTGCAAAAGCAAGGCAGGAGCCGGATCACAGCCCCATGGTGCACCCAGCTGGGCTGTAGCCAAAGTATGCTTCCCTGCAGGATGCCAAGAGGACAGGGGACTCATGTGGCTGTTGAACCTTCTGTCTGGGAGTATCAGCCTGTGTAAGTAGCACTGCTGTCTTGTCCCTGAACACTAAACAAAGGCATGGGGACTGGCTCACTGACTCTTTCCAACTGCCACCACTTACCTGATGATTCTGAGAAGAGTTTCTATTTCCGGCACCCCTGGGACCCCATTTGTATCCACCCCACTGTAGAAGGATAAACTATCTCCAAGCATCTCCTGTGCCTTCTTGTCCAGCTATCATGGCTGTGCCCTTTTCCAGGATGTCTCTGGGTTTTTCTCTCTGTAGGCAACAACACAGAAGGGGAGGAGAACTGAGGTGTGCAGTGCTAGGTGAGGTATGTGCTGAATAACGACAGCAACAACAAAAGAAATAAATAAGGGGAAAGTCATTAGCTTCAAGATGTTCCTAAAGCCTCCCTCCCACAAAAAAAAAAAAGTAACTATACCAACCATCAAAAGAAGATAGATGGAATACACAGAGTACACAAAAAGAATTGGTCAATATTCAACCATTTCAAGAGGTAGTAGATGATCAAGAACCAAGGGTACTGAAGGAACAAGTCCAAGCTTCACTAGAAGGCACTGGTGAAAAACAAGGCTCCAGGAATTGACGGAGTACCAAGATGTTTCAACAAATGAATACCACGCTGGAAGCTCTCACTAGTCTATGCCAAGAAATTTGAAAGACAGCTACCTGGTCAACTGACTGGAAGAGATCCATATTTGTGTCCATCCCAAAGAAAGGTGATCCAACGGAGTATGGAATATCAAACAATATCATTAATGTCACACACAAGTAAAATTTTGCTGAAGATAATTCAAAAATGGTTGCAGCAATACAGTGACAGGGAACTGCCAGAAGTTCAAACCAGATTCAGAAGAGGCTATGGAATGAGGGCTATCATTGCTGACGTCAGATGGAGCTTGGCTGAAACAGAGAACACCAGAAAGATGTTTGCTGGTGTTTTATTGACTACACAAAAGCATTCAATTGTGTGGATCATAAGAAATTATGGAAAACATTACAAACAATGGGAATTCCAGAACACTTAGTTATGCTCATGTGGAACCTATACATAGACCAGGAGTCAGTCATTCAAACAGAATAAGGGGATACTGCATGGTTTAAATTCAGAAAAGGTGGGTGTGCATCAGGGTTGTATCCTTTCACCACTAATTCAATTTTTATGCTGAGCAATTAAACCAAGAAACTGGATTATATGAACAATTCAGTATCAGGATTGAGGGAAGACTAATTAACAACCTGGGGATATGCAGATGACACACCACGGAAGCAGCAGTCAAGAAATCAAATGACACATTGCACTGGGCAAATCTGCTGCAAAAGACCTCTTTCAAAGCATTAAAAAGCAAAGTTGTCACTTTGAGGACTAAGATGTGCCTCACCCAAGCCATGGTATTTTCAACTGCCTCATATGCATGCAAAAGCTGGACAATGAATAAAGAAGAATTGATGCCTTTGAATTATGGTATTGTCAAAGAATATTGAATATACCATGGACTACCAGAAGAACAAACATATCTGTCTTGGAAGAAGTATAGCCAGAGTGCTCCTTAGAAGGGAGGATGACAAGACTTCGTCTCACATACTTTGGACATGTTATCAGGAGGGACCAGTCCCTGGAGAAGAATATCATGTTTGGTAAAAGCAGAGGGTCATTGAAAAAGAGGGAAATCCTCAACAAGATGGATTGACACAGTGGCTGCAATAATGGGCTCAAACACAGCAATGATTGTGAGGATGACACAGAACCAGGCAGCGTTTTGTTGTGTCGTACACAGGGTTGCTATGGGTCAGGACGGACTCAATGGCACCTAACAACAACAACATACCAAGCAATATTTCCAGTTCAAATATGTGATTATCATCGTTTTTGCTCTCCACTTTTACAAGAGGATGTTATTGTATGGACTAATTTATAAAGCTATGTTACAGCAGCACATCCCTCTAAAAGCTTGTTTGACATGTTGATGCTTTATTTATCCCCAGATAAATCCATACACATATTGTATTCCCATGACAGTTTTCCTCTCCTTGACAAGGAACTCTCCACTGTAGGCTCATCCCATGTATGCCATGACATATTTTTAAAAAATATGTCTGCAGTGGGTTCTGTTTCAATTAATTTCTTATAAAATGTCTCAAGCAAAGTAAGAACCATGAGTTATGTTCTCAAGATCCCAGTCCACCCACTGATGCTGAATCCCTTTGTGTTAAGTCTTTAGCCCTTATGAAAAAAAGAATTGGTCACTTAAACTTTGTGTGAATCAAAGTGATGAGAGGTGTAATTGGTCTACTGAAAGAACTAAACTCGGTAGGAGGAAAGTAGAAAACTACTCTTTCTTCCTCTGCTTTTGAATCCAGTCTGTTAACTTCTCCATCCTACCTTAGAGGAGATCTCCATAGATTTTTACTTTAAAATTTTTTTTTTGTTGTGAAGTGCATCATATTTGTCTATATTTTTAAAAAGCACAATGAAAATAAAAACTTTAAAAATATTTAAAATAGTTACCTATAGAGAGAGGGAGGTTTATGTGCCCTGAATGTACTTGATTTTATTTATAGCTTTGACTATGGAATCACATAAATAATTTTTTTAATTAAATAAAATATTAAAAATAATAAATTTGTAAAAACAAAATTAAGCAAATAGATTTGGGCTCTGGCAGACAGGCTGTGGGACCCCTGGCCAGGCCTCCACTGAATTCTTGGTGAGGCGCAGCCTTCTCCTGTGCTGGCCCAATCCTCCAGGGCGCTCCAGTCTTCTGTAGCAAAAAGAACTCACTCTAGAAACTTGTCTTTAAAAAAAGAAAGAAGGAAAAAGTATGAAAGTGTTTCTTTGGGATCTCATCTGACTTATAGATTATCAACTTGGAATTCCTAATGAAAAGCACCTCAAAGAAAACCACAAAGGAAGAACACATGTAACCGAGAGTCCTCACTAGTCTTCTCTGTAGAAAGCTGCAGCTTGCTGTGCGTCTCTGAAGTAAGGACAGCGATCTGTGATCTGGACATGGAGTTTTCCCCTTTCTTTCTGTCACAGCCCGGTTTGCTGCCTGGGAATTATGCAACCCCAGCAGCATTCAACTAATGGTGGGTGGGAATTGGTGCATAAATACCCCAGTCCTTTCACCCCTCCGTTAGGATAGCTCTAAGATATGTATTTCTACCCTGATACCCAGGGTTTACCCAGCAGGAGTAAGCTCTAGCGGCCCACATGGTACTTGACTTGATAACACTTCCTTTATTGGCTGTCTCCCCTTCCTTGTCTCACCTCCTTACTTTCCTTCTAGTCTTTCTTTCACCTACCATATAAGCTACCTGCAATGAAACCCTTACCTTAAGGTTTGCTTCTGGGGAAGTCCAAACTAAGAAGTATTCTAGCTAATAAATGAAGAAGTGATAGAATTCAAATCCACCATTTTGCAAATCCCTAATGAGATAATAGTATTTCTAAGTGATGTTTACCAGTGACCACTGACAGCACATAAAATTTAGATAACTGCATGTTATGTACCTTCTGGGAGAGGTATACAACCTCATTTGTGAAATATTCTTGTCAAAAACTCAAGCCTGAATCAGATCAAGCCTCTAGAGCTAATAAATAATTTATAGGAAATATAGACAAAAGGAATGTGCAAAATTTGAAAAGTGAGAAACTTTGAGAAAGTGTATGGAAAAATAAAGAGGTGAAATCTATAAATTTAAGAGAACTAAGAGATGTATCAGTCAAATACACAGTATGGACTTTGGATCTGAATTCAAACAAACCAATAGTTTAAAATATAAGATAACCTGGGAAATTTGAACACTGACAGTTTGATAATACTAAGGATTTTTTTTTTTTTTTGTCATTTTTTAGGTCTGCTAATGTATCTCTTTATCTTTTAAAGACACAGTCATTATCATTTAGAGATAGAGGCCATATGCTTTTGAGATAAATATTGAAATGTTTACAGAGGAAGTTCTAGGATCCTAAGATTTGCTTGAAAATAATTCAGTGGAGTAGGGGAGAGTTGAGTATAGGGTCATAGATGAAAGAACATTGACCAAGACTTGATAAATGTTGGAAGTGGAACCTGAGAGTTCAGCATACTATTACCTCTACTTTTGTTTTATTTACATTTTCTGTAATAATATATTTTTTTATATGCCAATTTAGAGGCGCACTCTTCAACACATGGTAACCACTAGCCATATATTACTATTGACAACAAATGTGGCTAATCCAAATTAAGATTTAATAGTTGTCAGTTATATGTATTGTGAATATGTTCTCCCATAATCTAGTTGATCTTTTAATGATCTTTCAATGACAAGAAATTCTTGATTTTAATGTAGCCAAATTTATCAAACTTTTTTAAGGTTTGTGTTTTCTTGTGTGTCTTATTTAAGAAAGGTTTCCCTACCTTGAGGACGTAAATATGTTTTCCTATTTTTGTCTCCTAAATGTTGTATAGTTTTGGCTATCACATTTATTCTTTAATCTACCTGAAATTGAATTTTTTAAATGATGTACATACATAGACACTGTGGTAAACTGCAAAAGTGACCACAGATTCTATCCATCCTTGTATGCATGTCCTTTTGCTGTGTGACTTTGCAAATACTCCCACAAAGTGGTAAAGTCAATTCTATCCCTTGATTCTGGCTTGACCATGTGAACAAAGGGATTGTTGTTACTGTTAGTTGCCATCGAGTCAGTTCCAATTCATGGTGACCCCATGTGTGCAGAGTAGAACTGCTCCATATGGTTTTCAACCTGTGACCATTCAAAAGCAGATCATCAAGTCTATCTTCCGAGGCACCTCTGGGTGGGTTTGAACCTCCAGTCTTTTGGCTAGTATTCAAGCATTTAACCATTTGTGCCACCCAAGGATTCTGTTCTTGTTGTGTGCTCTCGAGTTGATTTCAACTCATAGCAGCCCTATATGACAGAGTAGGACTTCCCCATAGGGTTTTCTAGGCTATAATCTTTACTGGAGCAGATCACCAGGTCTTTTCTCCCATAGAGGGCTGATGGGTTCAAACCACCGACATTCTGACCTTCCAGTTAGCAGCCAGGTGCTTAACCATTGTGCCAACCAGGGACCTTACTGGTAGTCAAAGCGATCGTTGCAAACAGAGGCTTGAAAACTGGTTGCAAACTGGGGCTTGCTCCCTCCTGCCATTAGTAACACTGGCAACCATTGCCATGTTAACAAGCCTGGGTTAGCCTGCCTGACAATGATATGTGGCTGAGCACCTAGCCAAGAGCCAGCCAGGTGCCAGTTATATGAGGTTATTGACTGTCCTCTGACCGGTAAAGCATAAATTAGACAGGCTGAAACCAACAGAAGAACTGTACAGCTGAGTCCAGCCCAAACTGCCAACTGAAAAGATCATGAGCTAATGAATAAATGATTGTTATTTTAAGTTACTAAGTTTTGGAGTGGTTTGTTCATAGTAAAAACTAACTGAGAGAGAAACTGGTACCTTAAAGTGGGTTGCTGTTGTAACAAACCTAAAACCTGTAGCCTCGGGTCTATAAATTGGGCAGAGACTGAAAAAACATTAAGAGCACTGGTAGCAAAAGCTCGAAAAATGGTGAGCAAATTCTTGGTGGTGGCTGCAAAAATGGTGAGGAAACTGATATAGTTGAGTAGAAAAATGGCAACAGTGTTATGTAGTTAAAAACAACTGGCAAAACTGTTTTTGCCTGTGCTAACTTGGAGGATTTAAAATATATGTGTATCTAATGAACTTACATCCTTAGCAAGATGATTTCTTGGGAAAATATTGAAAGTGTTGAAAGCCTTCTTGTAGCTGCATAACAAGAAAGGAACGAGCTAAAGAAAGAATTTAGGGGAATATATAAGGATAGAGAATGATAGTATAGAAAAAAAACTGTTTCTTATAGTCAGTCTCCTCAGCTTGTAAAGATTCTCAAAGTGAAAGAAGTCTGAGGTCAAAGAGCATATCAAAGGCATGGCTATTAAAACATTATTAAGATTTAAGGTAGTATCTAGTAGATCCTCTTAGCTAAAAATGGGGGAGGAGGTTTAGGAATCTTAAGGGCACTGTCCCACAGCAGCCTGATATGCTCACCATAGTAGAGAGAGTCCTATTTCAAAACAATGGTGAGTGTGCCTTTGGTTGAGTCAAATAGACTCAAATCAGATTAATAGGAAAACCACAAAGTTTTATGAGAGTTGTACCAATGAAAGTACCACACACTGAATTAAAAGAGACTGAGATCGCTCAAATTACTATAGCCTCTGCAATCCTTACTCTCTATCAGCAGAAAGGAATCAAAAAAGGCTACTCAACTGCAAACATGGACCTTTCCATGTCTAAAAGGAACAATGTCTCAGAAGACAGAGCCATGTGCTCAGACTGTAGAGCAAAAATCCTTGGAGAACAATGCAGCAGGGAGATGAACTTAGGCATCGACTGCAATAATCCTGTCCCTGCCTCATCATTGTATATTGGGTGTGCTGGGGACAGATAACTAATCTTTTTCATTCATAGGTCCCTGGAACAATAGGAGCCACATCTATAGAGCTTCATCTAATCTTATTTAGATCACAAGATCCCAGACTTCAAATCTGGTACCATAATTAGATGAGACTTCTGGGGTCTTACTTGTGGAAGCAATGGTAATTATTGTGGCCAAAGGGTAGACTGCAGTAGATTGATAAAAACATCTACAATACCTTGTAGCTTCTTCCATCAAGAGATGTAATCTATTTTTCCAACCCTTGAGTCTGGGCTGGCCTTGTAACTATTTGACCAGTGGTGCAACAGTTAAGCACACAGCTGCCAATCGAAGGGTCATACCTACCCAGCGGCTCCATGAGAGAAAGACCTGGTGATCTGCTTCCATAAAGATTACAGCCTAGAACACCCAATGAGGCAGGTTCTACCCTATCGCATAGGGTCGCTATGAGTGGAAATCAACTTGACGTCACCTAACAACAACAACAAGAGGCAGCAGAGATACTGTTGTGCCCTTTCCAAGTCTGGATCTTGAAAAGCCTTAGAGCTTCTGCTCTTGCTCTCTCTGAACACGTCAGCCACCACCATGTGAACATACTGGGGCTAGCCTGCTGGATCATGAGAGAAATGTGGCCCAGTCATCAATGTCACTCCAACCAATAGTCAACCAACCCCCAGAAGCGGAGTAGCTTGACTGATTTTCAGCTGCCCACAGACACATGAATGAGCCAGTCAAGACCAGCTGAAGAACATCTAGTTGATCCCAGCCCAAACTGCCAACTTGCAGAATTGTGAAGTTAAAAATAAAGAAATGAAGACTGCTTTAAGCAAATAAATTTTGGAGATGTTTGCTCTAAAAATGTTTCTCTGAGATGGCAAGGAAAGTAAGGTCCCACTAAAGCTAAAAATTAAGTGAAAGTGGCTTTGGCGGAAAGTACCATAGCCTGCATTTGCTTGATGGCATCCCCAGACCCCAGGGGATTTTAAGTTTCTGTTTTCATCACTGCACAAGTGTCGTTACAGAAGATAAAGTTCAGGGACCACTAAGGTTGGGAGTCTAACAGGACCAAAACCTGCACAAAGCTGGCACCCTGTCATAGGCAAAATAAAGGCTCCACAGTGATATGAAGATAAGCCTCGGAAACAGGCCTGGCAATCAGTCTCTGAAAGGTCGCAGACTAGAAAACTCTATGGAGCAGTTCTACTCTGCACAATGAGATTGCCATGAGTTGGAATCAACTCGACAGCAACTAACGACAACAACAAAGAGATAATAAAATCATTTCTATAATAAATATAAAGATGAAACACTCACAAACATACCCAACTTAGGAGTTCAACACCCACAAACTCTTACTTGTTGAATTACATTTAATTAAATGAAAAGCATCAGCTGCCTCTGGGAAATGAGAGGTGAGGTTCATTAACAATTAAATTGACTTGGGAAGGAAGAGCTTGGTCACTATAAGCCTGAAGCATTAAAATAACTTCAGTCATTCTGCAGAGCTCCGAATCCCATAAACAGAAATAGATGCCCTTGTCTACAATTGGTTACTTCCTTCTCTTCAGGATGCTTTGATCATTTACCCCAAGTGGAAGGAGTGAACATTGTAAATGAAGGAAATGATTTCAATTCCATTGCATTCAAAATGTGAATTATGAAGGTTATTTAGGGAACATTTTACACATAGGAAATGCAACAGATCGCCTAATTTTCATAGAATGTTAGAGTCCAGTATTCTTTCTCTCCATTTTTCTAAAGTGTTACTGCTTGCAGCCATGAGAACTATTTTCATTTCCTTTTAACTGTGTTGAACTCCTTTTAACTGTTCCTGGAGCCGTAACTTCATAGTTTAATATTTCCCTTTCTGAGCTTAAGAGTGTCTATGTCCTGTGTTTCTGAACACTCTTGCTAAAGAGAAGATTTTGTGGTGGGTGAAATACTGACTTCAAAACTTTGGAAGAAGAGAAAATTAGTTTGCCAAAAGGTAGCTAGATTTAAAACGACTCAGTATGGGGGAAAGGAGCTGGAGATAAGGGTGTTACCAAGAGAACATAATGTTGGCTTTACCCAGTGTTCTGAAACAGTAAATTTTATTCTCCTTTAGTACCCTTACTCCTACCCCTTACCTCTCTGCCCCTTGCCAAGGAAGTACTTAGGAACTAATACTGAACACAGGCAGCCTTGTATCCTCCCTGGAGCTACTCAGGGTAGCACCCTGTCTGGATATAACTTGTCTTTTCCATCTTTACATCCCATCAAAACTCAACTGTTAGGATTGTCTCATTTCTCTGCTCTTATTTCCAGCTATTGTTCTTGGGAAGGTGTTTATAAACTAATACATATGTGATTTACATGTAAATGATCCTGGAATTTTCCTTTCCTCACAGAAGGGAATGATGACTGCCCACTCAGTTTCTTTTTTCAGTACCCATCCATCCAAGGACTGTCTTCTCTGTCATTGTCAAATTTTGGTTTCTGAAATTAATGTTGAACGGTGGCCAAGAAGTTGTCCAGAAAGATGAGAGGAAAAGAGAGACTAAATTAATCTTCAAAATAAACAGATGAGAGAATTTTGAAAATTTACAGCAAATAAAATGTACCAGAGTAGATAGGTATCAGATAACTGGGAAAGAAGGAAAAAAGTAAGAGTTGTTGCTAGGGAAAACATAAGGAATCAACTTTAATACATTTTTAAAAGCACAAAAATTAGAAAGTTATTTCATTTTTATCATTAATGAATATTTGATCTGGGCTTCTATGAATGAGACTTTATAAATAGACTGGACCACATGGATCAGGAGTTAAAAGGGTTACACACTAAGTTATACAATTCATCCCAGTTTGCCCAGGACTTTCTCAATTTTAACACTGAAATTGTCATGTCCTGGGAATTCCTTCAGTCTCAAACTGGGATGGTTGGTTACCCTAACTAAGTTGTTAGTAACTAATAATGGTTTCATGTGTTACATTTCCTGGGAGAATAGTAAACTCTCGTTTTTCCTGAGAAGTGTTGCTGAAAATAAAGGAGAAGCTATGACGGCATTTCCCCTTCAACAATACCATAGAAATTCCACCTTTACTATGCTGAAATACAAATACTTATGGTTTCTATCATATTTTTTACATACCCACCTGTGCCTCTTGGGGGTCTGATTCAAAAAACCTCAATTTTCTGTCTCTCTTCTGCCTGCTGGAGGACCAAGAGAAGACAAGTATTTAGAAGATAACACAGGGGATAGTTTTTTTTAAATGAGTACTGAAGTGTGTGTGTATGTGTGCATGTGTGTGTGTGTGTGTGTATAAAGAAGTTCTTGATCTAAAACAGTAGTTCTCAAGTGGGGGTCATTTTTATTTTATCCTCCAGGGGACATTTGGCAGTATCAGGCGATACTTTGGGTTGTCACAACTAAAAAGGGGGGTGCTAATGGATTCTACTGGGTAGAGGCCAAGGATGCTGCTAAACATCCTACAGTTCACAGGACAGACCCCCACAGCAAAGACTTATCCAGCCCAAAAGGTCAGTAATGCCAAGATTGAGAAATCTTAACCTAAAGGCTTATGTCATTAACAATAGACCATCACACATCAGAAAAGTGTATGGGGGAGGGCTGAGGGTGCAGCCTTCCTGTCTGTCCTTAAATCACCATATATAGAGTGACTGAAGAACAGCTTTTCAGGCATCTGACATGGTAATGCGTAGCATATAAATAGAATGCTAAAAGAACATGAGCAAAAAGCAGGAAACCCGTGGTAATTTCCTTTATCAGCTGCTTAGATCTAGAATAAAACACTTGACCTACAAAATAATAATACTTTTATCCAAGGTTTTCTAAGGGAGTATCCCAGTTCATTCAGAATCTACAAAGACACTGTCAGATTTGGAATTGAATCAGCAATTAAGAGAGGTGAAGTTCACCTTATGAATGTTAGAATCAGCCGATGTATTCACTCAATAACCATAATATTTCCTCATGCCGAGACTTTTGAGGGAACTAGGGTGCAAAGTTGAAGATGACACACGGAGAGTACACTCTGTTAAAGAGAAGTATTGTGTCGTAGGAGCACAACAGGGGAGAGACTCATTCACCTTGAAGAATGTATCTCAGAATAGATAAAATATTACATGGGCCTTGAAAGATAAGTAGTAAATAATAAATAGGAGTAAATAACCCACTAGGGAGAAAGGCCAGATAAGGACAATTCAAGTCAAGGCAGCAGTAAGTGCAAATCATGAGGGCTTTAAAAAGCCTTTGAACAGCTGACTTTAGCAACAGACTTCATGGAGAAAAAGAAGTGATTATGGATCAGAAGTCAAAGGAAAGACTACCTGTATGTCTACAAAACATTCCCTCTAGTCAAACAGGGTAGATATTCTCCCCACATCCAACACTATCTTCTCCCAACTCAGAGTCTAAGCCTATGTATCTCTCCCTCTCTGTTTATTAAAACACACTTCTTCAAAGTTTCTGCATATATCCCTTACGCCAAAGAGATACTTCTGTCCTTGTCGTAAACCAATAGCCATTGAGTTGATTCTGACTCATGGTGAGTCCATGTGTTTCAGAGTATGACTGTGCTCCATAGGGTTTTCAGTGACTGTGATCTTTCAGAAGTAGAGAAGTAGATTATCAGGACTTTCTTCCAAGATGCCTCTGGTGGATTCAAACCACCAGCCTTTTAGTTAGTAGCCTAGTGCTTAGCCATTTGTGCCACTCAGGAACTTCTCCCTGTAGTACTCAGGGTTAATATCACTTACTATTCATTTACATCTTTGTTATGGTGATGTTTTTCCTCAGTATAAGTCATATACTTGCCCCTTTATATTGTAAGCTTCCTAAGAGATGGACCAGATTTATACAGCTTGGTGCTCCCAAGGATTACCACAGTACCTGGCAATCATATCTACAGAATAATGTGGGTGAGTTAATATTATTAATATTATTAAAATAACTGTGGGGTATGAACAAAATGGGACAAGCAAACTACAGTACTGGACACTCAATTTAGTGCTCTGTAAAATGTTATTTTTCAGGAAGAAAAATTAAATCATTATTCTAGATCTCTCATTCCAAAAAAATCCAAACCCGTTGCCATTGAGTCAATTCCAACTCATAGCAACCCTACTAACAGAGATTATATATTGGGTGGCTGGCACATATTGAACACTTAATAAGTATTTGTTAAATAAACAAAATGTCATATAGCATGTCCCAAATTGAGTTGACATTAATAGTTAGATTTCTTACCTCTATGGGTCATCTCACTCTTTCCATTTGCTATATTTCCTGTGCTTCTGCTTTCAATGCACAAAATACATGATTAATTGCCCTGTTACTCCCTCACTTGCCAAAAAGTGTGACCAGGTTCATACAGAGCTACATTCTTTTGTGGGCTTAGCAAACGGAGTTGACTTGGCTGGCATGGCTGTCCCTTCCGTGGAACCTTGTAGCAGAGGGGTATGGGAAGAGGGTTCAGTCCTCGTCATGGATTGAATTATGTCCCCCAAAAAATGTGTGTATGAATTTGGCTGGGCCATGATTCCTGGTATTGTGTGCTTTTCCTATACGTTGTCAATCCTGCCTCTATGATGTTAATGAGGGAGGATGGGTGGCAGTTGTGTTAGTAAGGCAGAACTCAATATACAAGATTGGATTGTGTCATGAGGCAATCTCTTGAGATATAAAAGTGAGCAGAGAGACAGGGGGATCTCGTACCACAAAGAAAACAGTGCCAGGAGCAAAGCATGCCAATTGGACCTGGGGTCCCTCCACGGAGAAGCTCCTAGTCCGGGGGAACATCGATGAGAAGGCTGACAGAGTGAGAAAGACTTCCCCTGGAGTTGATGCCCTGAATTTGGACTTCTAGCCTGCTTTACTGTGAAGAAATAAATTTCTCTTTGTTAAAGCCATCCACTGGTGGTATTTCTGTTATAGCAGCACTAGATGACTAAGACAGCCCTCTTTGAGAAAGACATGAGGCAATTTATTGGACTTAACTTAAGCTTTTTTTTAATGACTGTTATGGATTCAAAGGTGTCCACAAAAATATGTATTGAAGCGTTGGCCCCTGTGCCTGTAGATATAATCTGTTCGGAAATGTGGATTTGTTATGTTAATGAGACCATACCAGTGTAGGTTGGGTCCTAAACCTAATCACTTCTGAGTTAGAAAAAGAGCAGAATAGGGGTGAAGACAACATAGCACCTTAGACAGATGAACCATGCCGACCCTCTGCAGCAAAGACTCGAAAAACTAAGTAAAACAGATACAAACATCAATCCTGGAACCCTAAGTATCAAATGAAGGGATAAAGGACTAGATCAAACACCAAATGGAAGAAGAAACTGACAGAAAACAGAAAACAAGGAGAGATTCGGAGAGCAGGTCCCCTGCCAATTAACATGGTATAGCATCGCCATTTTGGAACACAGCCAGCAATGATCCTGAACAGGGAGTATGGGAAGGCAACTTTACAGAGCTTTCAGCAGGAGACAAAGCAGCCGGTAACCAGAGAAACATGCTTTCCCACCCCTCGTCCTTCTGCTCCATACACCACCTCTAACCCTTTACAACTGACGACGGCACGCCGTTCTGCTGGAGAGCAACCAGCCTGTTACAATCCCAGGTCAGCTCCACACCCACCTGCTGGCTACTGCCATGCCATTTTTTCCCCTTTTTCCTTTTCTTTCTCCCTCCCACTTAGCCCCATATACCACTTACACCATGCCACACCACCTCAGCTAGAGGGTCACCAGCCCACAGCTGCCCCAGGTCCGCCCCACTCCCACCCACCAGCTTCCACCACACCACATTTTTTTTCTTTCTCTTCTTTCTTTTTAGTCTCCCTCACACCTATTCTCCTTTCCAGCCAGCGCTGGGGCCCACCATGCCCCCACCCACTAGCCCCCAGTGGATTGTCAGTTTTTATTTATTTATTATTTTTCTTTTCTTTTCACATTCTTCCTTTTCTTTCTCCCCCCCACTTAGACCCATACACGACCGCCACCCCCACCTCTGGACTCTGCCACACCACCATAGCTAAAGAGCCACCTATCTGCTGCCAGCCCAAGACAACCCTACCCCACTCCCTCTTGCCAACTCCCACTTAGCTGCCAATTTTTCTCTTTATTTTCTTTCTCCTTTTTACCTAGCCTTCTAAGCCACCTCCCCTCCCTTCTGACTAGCTCTTGGCTCCACCCTGCCCCCACTCACTGGCCTACTGGCCTTCACTGTGCAGCCAGTTTTTTTATTACTGTTATTATTTCTCTCTTTTCTTTCTCTCTCCCACCTAGCCCTGTATACCATCTCCTTGCCTTCCAGCTAGACACCACTATGCTGCAACAACTAGAGATCCACAAATGCAGCAGCCCATCACTACCCTAGGTTTGCGTGATCCCCACCCACAAACCCACCACGCCACAAATTTTTTTCCTTTCTTTTTTTCTCCCTCCCACCTAGCCCAGGATGTCACCTCCCCTCCCTTCTCACGGCACCCAGGTCCACCCTGCCCCCACTAGCCAGCCACCACTGAGCTGTCATTTTTTCTTTTTCTTATTTTTTCTCTTTCTTCCCTTTTCTTTCTCCCTCCCCCAACACCTAGCCCCATACACCATTCTCCCTTCATGCAGACCCACAGCATGCGATGGCAGCTAGAGCATTCCTGGTTCTCAGGCCCACTGCTGCTACAAGTGTGCACTGTCTGGCCCTCGCACCACTCGACCAGCTTCTGAATGGTGGGAAGCAAGCCTTTACCACTCCCCGTTAAACACATCTACCTGTCTGGTGAGGGGCTGTGAATGTTCCCACACTGCTGGACCAACATCAGGAGGCAGGCAGCACTGGCCCAGTCTGCCCTCAGCCACCTTGCCAAACCAATGTACAGCAAAGTGGGTTCACCCAGCCTGCTGCTGCCCTGCCTGCTCAGATAAGGTGGTGAGAGTGATCATGCTCAAAGACAGGCAAGCAACAAAGCACCCCTGGCGTTCCCTCCCTGACATATCAAAACAAAACAAAAAACCAGGATGAAACAGATGAGCATACAATCAATAATTAAAGAAAATAATACCTTAATGTCTCGGAGACAACAGACAATATCAAACCATAAAAATGGAGGACAAGAATGCTCCAGTAAGTGACCAAAATAATCAGATGATCTTCTGGTAGAAGAAAAAGTAGTGGAACTACCTGATAC